ACAGAATCATAGAAACCTTCATTAAACAAAACTATCAAAATGTGAAGCTGTTTTTCTTTATACCCCCATGTAGGTTTATACACTTCTAAAAGCTGTGTTTCTATCTCTAACCCTTCCTTGAAGAATTCTATGTTCTCCAATTTATTCCACATCAAAATGGCAGTTTGGGCATCCTCAAAGAACTCAACCCATGTTCCTTTTAAATGTTCTTTGAGTTTGAGGAACTGAAAGGAAGTCTGAAGGGGGCATAACCAGGGCTGTAGGGTGGATGAGGTAAGGTTTCCCAATGAAACTCTCATAGGACAGTCCTAGCTACTGTTGAAGAATGAGCAGGTACATTGTTGTGACGGGAAACAGGCCCTTAGTGTAGATTTCCTCATCTTTCTCTATCCTACGCAGTTTTTCATTTTCTTAAAATGTCTTCCTAACAAGGCCCTGTGATCATCCTGTCTCTTTTGAGAAAATCTATTCAGATGACCCCTTTGGAGTTCCCCGACACAGTCTCCATAGCCTTCTGAGTTGACCTCTGTGCTGAAACGTTAACTGGCCCAGCAGATCCCATCAGAAGCTACCGTTCTGACTGGACATTGTTTTTGCAGGCAACTTGACGAGACTTAAGAGAAGCATATTACCGCGAGAACTTGTCTGCTGCCACTCACTGATTACTGTGATATGTTTGTATCTGTTTGATTTAGAATCAACCCATGCACATATAGGCCGGGGCCCGAGCAGCAGTAGTGTTTCCCTTTACACATGATCTCATGTAAGGGAAACTGGGTGGCTGCTGTTAGCCTTTTTAGTTTCTTGTTAACCTCTAAAACACTCTAGGAGGTCAACACTAGTATTATCACCATTATATATATTATATTACATATAGCCGAGCAAACTGAAACTCACCAAGGGTCTCCGACTTGCCTGAAATCAGACCCAGACTTATCATACTAAATCAAATTGCCTTTCTACTTTTACATGAAAAAAAAAACGTAGTAATAATTAGAGATGTGAGATGGGGTCTTGGTAGGGATGCAAGAACTAAATTTATAGGTTTTATCAGCTTAGCAATTGGAATAATAGGCTATAACACAATACTACATACTGTTGTTGTTAAGTACCATGGAGTCGAATCTGACTCATAGTGACCCTGTACAGGGTTTCCAAGACTGTAAATCTTTATGGGAGAAGCAAGCCTCATCTTTCTCCCATGGAACAGCTGGTAGTTTCGAACTGCTGACCTTAAGGTTCGCAGCCCGATTCATAACCACTACGCTACCAGAGCTCCTTATACTACATACTAATGCTCAAAATGTGACTGGGGAGAGCTGCCTCCTCAAAGTAGAGTTGACCATCATGATGCGAATGGAGTAAAGCCCTCTGGATCTTCGTATGCTGATGGAGCACAACTCAAAATGAAGAGAAAACAGCTATAAACATCCATTAATGATCAGAACATGGAATGTACAAAGTATGAATCTAAGAAAAGTTGGCCCAGGATCGTTCTGTTGTGCATGGGGTTGCTATGAGTCAGTACTGACTTGATGGCACCTAACAACAACAACAACATATTCTTAAAATATTATAGAAGTCCTGGTGTGGCACTGTGAGTTAATGCGCTGGACTGCAAGTCAGTTTGAACCACAATGTTGGCTGCTGTTCAAGCTTACCAGTCGTTCCTTGAAACCTATACAGGGTCACTATGAGTTGGAATCGACTGGAGTGGACGGCACTTAGCAACAACAACAACAACAAAAGACATTATGAGAACATTAGAATATATTTCCAGCACTTGTGCTTTACTTCTAAAGAGTAATTTACATGAATTCTAATTCATCAGTTTCAAACCCCTGGAAATTACAACGTTATTCCACAACCTATGCAGGGATGTTAATACTTAACTGAGGAATATTAGCATCAACTATCAACTATCAACACTCATGGAAGTAGCAGTCAAGAGATCAGACGACGTATTGCACTGGGCAAATCTGCTGCACAGGAACTTTTTAAAGTATTGAAGAGCAGAGATGTCAGCTTG